TAATTTCTGATGTTCTAAATTTTGATTTATTTTTTACTATGCGTGGGCTTTTGAAATAATATATACTTGCATAATGGGTGTTACTTACTGTTTGATATAATAAGAGACGTAAACACTGCTTCTTAAATACATATGTAGTTATATGTTCTCTTTAATATACATTTATTCCAATCATGTGCCATGTCTAAACTTCGCTTACCAACAGAATTAACTCTTCAAACTAGAAATGTCTTTTGTAGCTATCCATATATAACTCTGTTAGACTGTACTACACTACCAGCTATGATTAAATCTGCACAATGTAGGCATTTCCAAGCAGGTTTTCTTTGCTTCTACGTTTTAATTGTCTATAGTCTATAATTGTCGCAGTCTATGTAACGTTATTATATAAAATAAAATCAAGATTATATATTTAAAACTATGAAGTTCCATTTAATAATCGTACCATATCTATAAATTTCATATATGTGTTTTTTTTCTAATATCCGAAACAACTTTCTTAAATCAGTTCCCGAAAGGCTTTCAGTTTTCTCTAAGAATATTATTTTTACTTTGAAAAACTGTTTCAATATAAATTTCAATTTTTGTCAGATAATCTTCAACATTGTCAATCCTATTCAGCGAAGTTCTTAGCTTAATTAAACGCTGTTGATTTAAATATAAATCGTATAGTATTATATACCTATGTATATGATTATATAAGGAGAATATTTTAAATGAAATGAAAATCTCAATGCTAAGAGCAGAAAACTGATATATAGCCAAATAACTCGTCCGTCACTTCTACATGGATGTGTAGTATTTAGCAAAGCTTCAAACAGTACTATTCGCCAGCTAAAAATTGCACAAAGCCAGACTCTGAGAAGACTTTTCAAGCTACCATGGTACATTAGGACGAATGACATTTTCAGGGACCTTAAGATTGATCCGAAACTTACCAACACCGCGTTATCGAATCTCAGAATGGTTGCAGGCTCTTCGGGGAGGTGTACAGATCTGAGGTCAATTATGGCTTAGTCTGCAGAAGTGATAAACAATAATCCAGTCAAGGCGTAAAGAAGGGTTTCGGAGAAACCTCACAGTTTATAGAGAGTAAAAGTTCTCAAGTGCACTGGCTGAAATAGCTACAACATATGTTAAGGTAAATTATTCAGATTTTACAGCATTGAATTTGAGATTTATTGCAATATATGTCATAACAGTAAAGATAAACAAAAGTTTTGACTGATATTTAAAGAAAAAAAAATGTACACATATAGGCACACCCAGTCATGCAGATAGAGTACACATAGAGTAAAATAAGGCATCAGCACATGTGTACTCATATAACCTCAAATAGATCAGCTTCAAGAAAGTTCAAGCTGCACTCAATCAGACCCGTACGGTATGACAGAAACCTTCATACGATAGCACGTGCACGTACGTTCGGATGCATTATTTTGAAATGATGACGAATCAGAGTACATTTCTTTTGTTGTAGACTTTTACTTTGCGAAGTAAAGAAAAGCAAATAAACAACAGTAAAACAGTAAAAATTGTGCTGGTGCACATACACACATACACACGTAAACATTATGTGCTTGGCATAAAAAGGAAACACAATCTAATAGGTGCTGGTGACTTTCTGCTAGGCTTATCGCCTATGCTTTTCGCTTTATTTGAACACGCTATACTCAACCCAAACACACATGCAATGTCATTCACTCACACTTACACTCGAGTTTGAGCTCTATGGAAAATAGCAAGAAAGCATATATAAATGTGTGTTCGCATTCGTTTTCGTGCATGAGGTTTTTTGATTAAAGGAAATAATTTTTTCAGGTCTTTCAAGGTCATAATCATGCATGCACTTTAATTCGCCCACGTAAGTGTTCTTCTTTATTATTTTTGTATTTCTGCTACGAGTACATTCCATTCTGTTCCGCTCTGTTCTGCTCTGCTCTGTTCTGTTCTGCTCTGTTATGTTTGTTTTGTGTCTGCGTACCGCCTGATAGAAATAAACTGACTGAATTCACATTTTGTACTTCTCACGTGAGTTTATCATTCATATTTTGTTTTTGCAACATTTCCATAGAAGGTTTCTATGCTATATGCTATATGCATCGTTTCGGAATTTATCATGAGTGCTTTATTTTAATTTTTGGCGTTGACATAAGGTTAAGTTGCCACACTTTATTTATATCACATTTTTAACATACTTAGCTTGAAGTATGACCATGTCGTCGTAGTAATACTTTTGTTTATTCGTGGGTATTCGTGGATAGCTTAGTAGATTGTCACTGACATTGATAATGAAACAATATCAGTGATGAAATATACATGAGACTAGTATAGAAAACTCTTAAAATACTGAAGGTACAAAAATTTTAACTTATAAAATTATAGTTATATTCACATAACTATTCACAACATGTTCTATGTTCATTTATATATATGATTCATATTAAAGTATTTATATTTATTTTTATGTTAAAAATAGATCTCAGATAGTTGCATTCAAACAATTAAAAAACAAAAGAATTCGATTCCTTTTTTAAATAATAGTCAAATATGTTTCTTACCAAAGCACCCTTTACTTAAGCTAGCTATAATCGCTGTATTGATACAGATTCGTTATGATTTTATATTCATATGATACAGAATATAATTTCATATTCTAGAAAACTGATTCTATTTAAATGACAATATAATAAAATTGTAAATTGCATTGAAAATAAGTACATGTAAATAACATAAATACTCACACACACATATCCAAAAACTGGTCACAAAACACTAAAAACCCACATATTTTTAAAAGTGTTGAAAGAGTTTCTCATCAGATGTTAATATCGTAGACCAGGGCTGTCCAAAGCACGGCCCACGTACCAGATGTGGCCCGCGGCTAATATATGTGCGACCCGCGACATGTTTCTAATCTACTACAATTACGCAAATTTTTCTTTAATTATTTTTGGTATAATTATATTATTTTTTTTTTATAGTAAGAATTCAAAGGAATAAATTGGTAAAACTAAATTTAATATTATCACATTATTTTAATTTTTTTCCAAAAAAACCATGGACTTATGCATTTGTTTCTGCAGCCCTCCAATTTGCACGGTAATTTGTATCGACCCGTGAACATGTCTGGGTTAGACAGCCTTGTTATAGAGGATAAATAAGGGAGGAAATGTAAAATAAATATATATATTTGTACACATTTAAAACTACACACTTTAGAAAATTATAATTTATAATAAACACAAATTTATTCGCATTTATAGAGAAAAAGTGCTAAGTGTATTGAAGAACATTAAGGAGTATCTTTCTGAGTGTAAGAGCTTAGAAGACGTTAACAGAAATTTTATTTGTAAAAACACAGATTGGATAAATTCAAACACAAAATTTTAATAAAAATTTTTAACAAAATTCTATATTATTATATTTGTATGTGTATGTATTTATAATAAGTAATTTATTTGTTATGAAAGTTTTACACAAATCTTGATGTTTATCTACAATATTTTATTATATTATACAAATTTGTTGTTAATTTAAATTGTTTTGTGTACGTGTGAGTGTAACTTTCAATTGGTTTCTTTATATGTAAATTTCTAACTTTGTGACTGTAACTAACTAACAAACCCAAAAAAGGACTTGAAGATGCCAATCAATCGCATTGTGTCCTTTTTTTCATAATATAAATATTTGTGTCTGCAATTAGTTTTCGTCTTTTAAGTATTTGGTAAAAAAGAAAATTATTTGCTATTGGCGGTGTTTTCAAAATTATAATAAAATAATTCAATGACTTTTTTATTCAAGCATACATTTTTAAATATTTATATTTTTCACTTTTTATATACTATATAAATAATTTTAAAATAAATTAGATTTGAAAAAAAATATTTTATACAAAAATTAACCATACCTTTTAGCCCTTTTGCATGATTATTCAAAAGTAATTTTTCTTAATATTACAATTTAGTTATATAAATAAATAATTTTTAAAATTTAAATAATTAAATTTGTAATTATTCTATTGTTGGAAACCTCATTTCCGCATATAAGTAAAATAGAAATTTTATAAATCCTGCATTAATTTGTAAAGACCCTTGAAAATAGTTAATAATTATATACAACAAGTCAGTTTTGTAAATACATCATTTTAACCAATGTTATTTAAATATACCGAATTTCTTTTTCCAAAAATATTATCAAAAATTTTGATCCGAAATTAATTAAAATTCTTACCCCATATATCTCCAATCAACCCAATGTAACCCAATATATAAAATAGCAAAATGTGTATATATATATATTATAACTGATATATATATGTATATGTATATAAGTAACAAAAGTATTTTAGACTACCATGAAAAAACTATAGTATATAAAAGCTTCTTTAGCTGTTCAAATTCTTTTCAATAGACCAATGTTGGATCTTGTTTTCAACGTTGGATTTTGAACTTTATCATTTCCAGAAGTTTTCAATCTTCATACTGTCTTTCTATGTATTATGACTTTAGTTTTGTAATACTTCAATCCCAAATTCATGGAATATTAATATGAAGACTTCTGATTGTACAGAATTTAATCGGGTTTATCATTTATACACAATAATGTTAAGAAAAACACCAATCGGATTATATTGGGTAAATATTTACACCCATGTTAAAGTCATTTTTACAACTCTTAATAATTATTATATATACCCTTATAGTAAATTTCATCCCAATAGCAAATCTTTCATTTTTAATTAAAACTTTTTCTCTGACTTTCCATTTTTATAAACACCAAATTGATACTTGCATTCACATTTTTGTAATTAATTTGTATTTTTGTATATAAACTTAAATCAGTAATTTTTTGATATTTTCCTAATGGAATGCATCACTTATAGTCACCATCAAACTTTACTGAATAATGTTAACTATCACATTTGAAAAACCTAAATCCAAAAAAAAAAATTAATTTAATTTAAATTGCCACAAAATGCGACTTCCAAATAATTACAGGCAGCGGCAGCGAGTCTGGTAATAATCGCATGGACGATTCACGTCTTGTGTTGCGCATACATCGTGGTCGACCTTGCAGCACGCCACAGCGTACGCCACTCTCCGTACACTCAATGTCCTCCACACTTAGTGTGAATAGCAATGGCGATGAGGCAACATTTCCACTGCAACACAACGCTTCCCATTTCAATACACCGAAACGTACTACTTCGATGCGTGTCAATCGACAGCGACATGAAAAGATTGCTATTAAGGTATCGTATCCATCATCGGAGAACGTACTCGAAATGCCCGCTTCATTACCGACATCACCACCGCCTTGTGCCATGGTCACCACTGCCAGCATTAATCACAACAAAACACCATTGCATTATAATAGACGCGCTTCATTCAAATCAAGTCTTCTTGAAATCGGCGAAACAACGTTCAACGTAGATGCGGCTAATGTGCACAACCAGCGCGATATAGAGTCAGCTACT